GAGGGAATGTGGAGGAGTGGAGATGTAGTGGAGTGTGTGTCACTTGATGTGTCCACGTGACAACTGCGATACCGCACTGATGAGGGATGTGTTTATCACCAACAGAGAGTATGAGTGTCAGTTGGCTGTATTTTACGTATCTAGGCGTATCTCGCATAGAGCTATCGATTCATGCTCACTTACGCCTTGTATTAATACAGTTCTCGCCTAGCTTGGCGAAAGATCCTGGTATTGACACAAGGTACAAGACCACTGATCGCATGCATCAATTTTTTCGCAGTAGGTAGCAATCTACAACTCACGACAAGGCCATCTTGCAAATTTTAATTGACCATTTAATTACTGACTAAATATAATAGAGAAAAGAGCCATTGATAGAGAAAGTTGATCCAATGTTGTGACAAATGGCAGCCATCCATGCCTTTGTGAATAGCTTCAATTGGCACTGGTGACTCCAAAGGGCATCACGAGAACCACGCCCAACCAAGAAAACACACTCGGTACAGCCCGTGTATGTTTCCTTAAAAAACTAACCACTCCTAACATGGACGATGATACCTGGCCAATGGGGCGGGGAATCCGACACCGCCTTGAACCAACCAGCCTCAGGACCCAGACGCAACGCCCTAAACCTCTCATCAAGAGCGGCACGAGCCTCCTGCGCCCCAGGCTCATCATCATCATACTTTGCCCTGTACCAGACTCCCTTCTTGCTAATCCAAAACTCAATTTCTGGAGCGTTTTCCGCCTTCTCATCCTTGAGATATCGCTGAGCTCGAAAGTCGTCGGGCGAAGTGTGCGCCATGGCATACTTCTTCATATCCTCGAGTCGCGCCTTGGCCTCCAGAGTTATAGGTGTAAACTCCCTTGGACCGTTGTCCTTTGGCTTGATGCAGTTCTCGGGGTTCTTTCTGCACAACTCGTTGAACTCGAGTACCAGTAAGCCTGATAGATACTCGCGAGAGTAACCCCTCAGGTTTACCCCAACTGGGTAGGATTCAGCGTCGTCATTTGAGTCTGGGAACACGCTCCATCTAAGCGCACCAAACTCCGGCTTCCCTTGCTTCTTTCTGATCTTCTTTTCGAGTGGGCTGGCCTTTTGTCTCAATCGTGCGGACCATCGAGGTTCCAGGGTCTTGTGTTGTAGCCTGGCTTGCTCCAGGAGATCCTCCAGGCCCTCATCATCGTCGGCAACTTCTCCTTGCTCTGTGGGTATCTGGGCCCTGGCTCGTTCCTCGGCTTTCTTGATGAGATCCTCGATGAGCTTCTCGCCGGCGCCCTCAGTGAACTTGCGTTTGTCCTTGGAGAATGTTGGTGTCTGAGGCTTGACTCGTTGCTCAACTTTGTCAATGACATTCCCCAGGAGCTCGTCATTCTTCTCCTTGTCGCAATCCTTCTGTTTTGTCGCATCATTGCCATGGTCCTTGGCCCCCGATGCCTCAGATCTCTTGTTTGGCAGTCCAATTTTGCCAATGAGACCCTCCAGAAACTCGTGGTTTCTCTGCTTGGGCTTGCTCTTGGGGTAGATGATCACTTTGCCATTCTCCTGCTGGACATGAGTGACGGTAGCTTCATTCTCTTCGACTCCGAGCTTCTTGGGAATAAGAGGCTTATATCGTTCCCCGACTTGGTCAAGAATAGGCCCAAGGAGGGGTGTAAGAGCATCCTCCGGCTCATCAAGATCAACCTTGGCTGGGTCAGGTCCTTTTTGTCGCTTCTCAACAGAACGAGGAACAGCCTTGTGAATCTGGATGTGAGAGTAGTGCACACAACGGTCGGATTCCTCGCTTCCGTTTTGCGCGTTCGCACATCCCTCGACATCTGGAACGAATTTATCCTTCTTGTCCTCAGGAGGGGTGATGTTTTCGAGAAGCTTCTTGGTCCCGGGGGAAAACTTCTCGGGTTCAGACGTAGACTCCTTAATAGGACGCGGGCGAATCGGCTTCATGATGCCCAACTTGATCATTTCAGCTGGGTCAGGCCTCGCATCACTAGAGACGTAGTAAGGGTCCTTGATGTAGAAGCGGCCATTGTCAGGGTGTTGTGAATATCTCTGGGCAAGGTCGGGAGGGAGATACAGCGCACTAGCCGTCGAAAAGTAGGCCGCCGCTGCGGCGACAGTGGTGAACCTCATGGTGTTTGATGATGATTCTGTGAGGGCATCCTGCGTGCGTGCACAGGCTGCCGAGGGCCAGATCTTATAAGCTGAAGCTACATTCTCCTTGTAACTCGATCCGCAACTCTAAAGGGGAAATTTCGCACAAAACACTTTTACCTCGAAAATTGAGTCTGTTGGGTATGCACTTTGGCCGATAATCGGCCCTCTACTCAAGTACATGCATGAAGCCATCACCACTGAACTTTAGGTAGATGTCTCTACCCTGGATAGAGCCACTTAACATGCGGGACTGGGTATAAACCGGCAATAAGCCGTCATAAATGGCATCATCAAGTCATGACTTATCTATACTCATCTCCAAAAACCTCTAAATAAATACAATCTGTCCTTAAACCGGCTCAATTGTCCTCGACTTTACCCTCATTGACTCTGGAACTTGCCGAGTCTCCCCCGAGGGGTCCGGAAGGGCTAGCCCCAGTGGGGTCAATGGATGAATCCCCTCCGTTCCGTCGGAGTCATACCTCTGGAGGATACGATACTTTCAGCCCATGCCAATTGTACTCTCCTCCTTCAACAATCTTGACCTTTTTTGACCCAAGACCTCTCTCTCAACGCCTCCCATTGCCTTCAACATGGCCAATGATCACATCCTCACCCTCTCTTGCCCCGACAAGTCGGGCATCGTGCACGCCGTGACGGGCATCTTTGCCTCGCACAAGCACAACATCCTCGACCTCCAGCAGTTCTCGGACCCCGTCTCGGAGCGCTTCTTCATGCGCGTCCACTTCGGCCCTACAGAGACCGAGTCGACCGAGCACCTTGTCGAACCCTTTGACAAGCTCGCCGCCGAGTACAAGATGGACTACGACATTCGACCCGTCGCCCGCAAGATGCGCGTCCTCATCATGGTTTCCAAGATTGGTCACTGCCTCAATGATCTGCTCTTCCGCATGAAGACTGGTCAGCTGCGGATGGAGGTCCCCGTCATCGTGTCCAACCACCCCGACTACGCTCCCCTCGCCCAAAGCTACGGCATCGAGTTCCACCACCTGCCTGTTACAAAGGATACCAAGGCTGAACAGGAGTCTCAGGTCCTCGATCTTGTCAAGCAGCACAAGATTGAGCTGGTGGTTCTTGCGCGATACATGCAGGTCCTGTCGCCAACCCTCTGCGAAGCCATGTCTGGCCGCATCATCAACATTCACCACAGCTTCCTGCCATCCTTCAAGGGAGCCAAGCCTTACCACCAGGCCTATGATCGCGGAGTCAAGATTATCGGTGCGACGGCGCACTTTGTCACTGCGGACCTTGACGAGGGTCCTATTATTGAGCAGCGTGTGGCTCGTGTCGACCACAGCATGAACCCTAAGGAGCTGTCCGAGGAGGGATCCAATGTAGAGAGCCAGGTTCTTGCTGCTGCTGTGCGGTGGTATGCCGAGAGGAGACTGTTCCTCAACGGACACAAGACTGTTGTATTCAACTAGGCGTATAATTAGGCGTTAAAAAGTCATGTTCTGCTTGTATCTTTGTGTTTGGTGTAAGTGAGGTTTGGCCGAAGTGATGTATCACGGTGAATGAACCAGCTGAAAGCGCCAAAGCCATGGCAAGCGACAGAACTCATGTACACCCAATCCCCATCATGATGAGACATTTACCATCTCCTCGGCCTCATCTTGACCGACAAGCGAACTCATCTGCATGTCCATCTCCACAGAACCCCCGACTGGATAGTCCCCAGTATCTCGCCCGTCGCCAACCACCAATCAATCCCCCGAGTAGCTCAGCTGGAAGAGCGTTCGGCTGTAACTGATACAAAAGTTGATTACCGAAAGGCCACCTGTTCGAGCCAGGTCTCGGGGAGTTGTTCTCTTTTTGCCTTCCGTTGGGAAAGGTTGATATTTTTTGCCCCTCACCCCGCCAGCTTGTGTGGGCAAGGGGCTAAATTTTTGGAGGGATTGTGTGAACGAGGCCTCCACCCCCTGGCATTTTTGACCCAGCTAAAAAGGATGACGAATGAGATTGTTAGTGACTGTGGGTGCAAAAAAAGAAAGCAAGAGCTTCCAAAGACAAAAAGGAATCCCCGAGACCTGGCTCGAACAGGTGGCCTTTCGGTAAGATGCGAGATCTATTACAGCCGAACGCTCTTCCAGCTGAGCTACTCGGGGAGGAGCAGCTATCGGAAGATAGGGTGGTTGATGACAAAGCGGTTGCTAATAGAGAATATGTAGTCGAGGCGGGAGAGGAGAATTGGGTGTCTTTTGAGCATCAGTAGCACGAAGTAGCATTGGCATGATCAACTCCTGGTTATACTTTGCGAGAAGTCTTCAATTGGTGGAACTGTTCTGTCTTCTTTGGCCTGTGCTTAGGTCTCTTATTGTAAGGGTGAGCCTGGCCGGTGCTTGTCAGACACAAACACACAGCATCCACATTTGCCATGCATAGGTGTGGTTGTTTGAGAGGAATTTATACTGAACACAAATAGAAACCAAGGCCTGAAATACTAACGATATCTAAAGTGCTCTGTATATACTCTATTATTTTGTGATACCTTGATAGGCAGGAAGTGACCAAATGCAGCCTTTTTCATCCCATGTTGACGGTAAGCACAAATGGAAACACGGGATAATGCTCAGCTTGCCTCTTTGCTGTTCCTCTTTGCGTAGCACCAGGAATGATCTAAAAGAACACAAAAGATACCAGAGCGACCCCAATTGATCAATTATACCCCCAAATAGAATAACCCAGACGTTCTCCTCATATGTTGCGACCATCCCGTCCCCTGAACTTACCCTATTTCCAAAAAAACGTCCATCTCCACCAGCGTACCCTATGAGCCCAATTCTGAGACACACCGCCAACAATCCCTCTCTTCAACTGAACACCCCGAGTAGCTCAGCTGGAAGAGCGTTCGGCTGTAATGGATACAACGTTACCGAAAGGCCACCTGTTCGAGCCAGGTCTCGGGGATTTCTTTTTGCTTTTTTTGCTGAATTTTCCCACCTCTACTGGTAGCATCGGCATGGTGCTTATTACAGACAGTTGATGCAGACTGTTTGTATTTCATTTTTGATCTCCCAATTACTCTTGGACAAGTGCGTAACCAATCCCTTGTTACAAAACGCAGTATCTCGCTCGGCTTTACGCAGCTTTAGAGTTACTGTAGTGGTTAGACCTCAATGTCAATCAATCGCAACAGGCTTTAGAATCACATTCCATACCCGTCATACAAACCCATCAAGCCAATTACCCATAATTGCCCATAATATTGCTCAAACACCATCCCCAGCTGTCAGAGTTTCACCATCAGCTGATGCAAACTTGGGCCGGGCTCGCCGCACTGTGACCTCCGCCCACACCAAACCAAAACCAACCTCGGGGAAACCACCCACAGTGTGAATTCCGTCCCACACCCACAATCCACCACCCTTTCTTTCCCCTCAGCTTCCGGGTCAGATCACGGCTCACAGAAACCTGTCCCTCTGCTAGCCATACATACGGATTCAAAGAGAGTCAATGGCTTCCATCAACGATCTCGCGACAGCCGCTATAGCGAGCTCATCGGGACCCGAACCTCAAGCCGGGACTTCCCCGGCCCCCGCAGCAGCAGCGAGGGGCGCATTCATCGTCCTCGAGGGGTTGGATCGGAGCGGCAAGACTACGCAGGTCAAGCTTCTTGAGCAGAGATTTGTCGAGGAGGGGAGCAAGGTCAAGGTCATGAGATTTCCTGGTGAGTTTTCTAGATACAGGACATGAACCGAAAAAGCTGAATTCTAGATAGACAGGTCAACACCCATTGGGCAGATGATTGATAGCTATCTGAAGAGTGATGTTGAGATGGATGATCATGTCATTCATCTCCTCTTTAGCGCAAACCGCTGGGAAGCAGTGCAAGTTCCCTTCATCTCCTACTCTTCAACATGCACTAACAAACCCAGGAAACAAATCCAATCCCTCCTCGCAGCTGGAACAACCATAGTCTGCGATCGCTACTACCACTCAGGCATCGTCTACTCAGCAGCAAAGCAGAACCCCACCCTAACCCTCCCCTGGGCACGCGCCCCAGAGCGTGGCCTCCCGCGACCCGACCTAGTCCTCTTCCTCGACCTGACCGAGGAGCAGGCCCGGTCGCGAGGCGGATGGGGCGGAGAGGTGTACGAGCGGTCCGAGATGCAGAGGCGAGTACGTGAACTCTTCTGGGGTCTTAGCATGGGCGGTAGAGATGTCACGGCGCAGGGGCTGGGGTTGGACGAGGGGGAGGGGTGGAAGCAGGAGGAGGAGGATCTTGTGGTTGTGGATGCTGGTGGGAGCGTTGAGGAGGTGGCTGAGGAGGTATGGAGGAAGGTCAAGGGGAGGGTTGAGCAGGTTGAGAGGGGAGAAGTTGGAAGGACAGTTAGGGTTGTGAGATGAGTGAATCAGTATCTTAACTCTCATTTACCTGAGTGAGCACTCATTCACAGCCCTACAGGCCACAGAATAATTAATCGCACAATACATATCACTTCAAGGAGCAGAGTTCAAATAAATGTAAAATTAATTCAAATCAAACAATGCAAAATGCAAATCACAAAACCGATAACAGTATCCCAGCTCTTGGTAGCCTGCAAGAAGAGAATCCCAAGTCCTGCGCCATACACCATTATACTCCAGACCCCGGCATAAAAGCATTAAAACTCATCCACACATTTTCATGCGTCGTGCTATGAGCTTGCCGCTGGTTCTGCCGCGTCCTTGTCGCTTCCGCTCTCCCACAGCTCAAAGCTCTGGCCTGTACCCTCGATGGGTTCTAGCACAGCAGCCTTGGATGATCCCTCTGTTGGCTTTGCCATGAGGGCTTCAATCTCTTCTGTGGGCTCCTCGGCATTTTCCTCTGGCGCATACACAAAGTTCTTGGCCATGTTGGACACTTCGGGTTCAGGCACCTCATCCTCATCCGCGGGCACAATGATGACAGAAGTCTCATCACAACCCTCGGCGTAAAAGTCGGCAGTGTTCATTTCACCCAGCGCGACACGTTCCTTCTCGACAACCATATCATCAGCGCTGACTCGCGCAGACCGACGGGATGAGGTCTGAGATACGTCATCGGCGGGGGGAATGTTTTCCTTGTCGCGGCCCTCAGCGCGGTCCCTGCTGCGCTTGCGTTCACTCTCCTCATCAGATGAAATATCGAGAACGCAAGTGCTGTGCTGGAGGAGGTTGGTCATCTCCTGCTCGGGGGTATCCTCGTGAATCTCAAAGAACCAGCTAGCCTTCATATCTCCCTCATCAAGAGGGTTCAACGGTTCCTTGGGAGCAGGCTTGGAAGATCCATAACCGGGAATGGTGCCCTTGAGAGCGGCATCGAGGGAAAAGGGAGCAGCAGAGCCGAGGCCGAAGGAAGGGGGATCCACACGGGTGTAGGGTCCAAGAGCACGTCGGCGGCTCGAGGCCAGACCGGAACGCTTGGTTCGGGCGGGAGAGCGACCAGCGGGGGCGTAGAGGGGAGACGACTTGGTGATGCTTCCTGTGCTGAGCCTGGAGGCGGGAGACTTGGGCTGGAGGGTGCGGCGAGACTTGGTCGGGCTGGTGAGGCGATCGGGAAGAGCAGAGGGGGGCGGGGATGGGAGCAGCCTTGAGTACAAAGGCAGAGGGCTTGAGCATATCCTTGGAGGAAGCCTTGGAGCGCTTAGCAAAGACAGAAGGGTCAATGTTCTCAGAGTCGTCGGTGTCGATCAATTCGGCCTTGCGCTTTCCAGCAGTGGGAGGAAGAGCTTGAGGTTTGTTAGAGAGTGACCGTGATATGACGTCCATGGATCCACCACATACCATTCTGCCTGTTCTTTAGACTGGTGAGGTTCTGAAGACGAGCCCCATCAAGGGGAGCAAAGGGTTGACGAGTGACGGCAGCCATGTTGACTGGAGTCGTGTCGCAAAGTTGTTGTTGATGTGAGAGTGGACTTGAGTGAGCAAGGACCAGTGGGCGGGGGCGAGTCCACGTCGATGGAAGTGAGGTGAGGCAATGCAGGAGGTGGACGATGCAGGTCGAAGGAGTTTGCTGAAGTGTTTGTGTTTGTTGATATGATGGCCGCGTAGGTCGTACACGTCTATGTTTATGAGAAGCCCGTCTCAAAGTGGTCGACGTGTAAATGAGTGAGTGAGTAGAAGTATATAAGAGTAGGAGACAGACGGAGGGGAGGGAGTGCTCGGGTAGAAAAGAGAGTGGATTTTGGTGCGTGAGGGCGCGTGCGGGAGGGAGGAGAGTCGGTAATAAGGGAGGAACGCGAGCGTGGGCGGGCACGTCCACTACCTGGTCTGGTGTACAGTGGGTACGAGCTGTGCTGCGGGTAGGCTCAGGCTTAGGCTGCGGCTGCAGATGATCCAATGGATCGATGGTCAATCCCCACCAAATGAGACGGGGAATGGAATGATCGAGTTTCTCTCTAGAGACTCGAGACTATTCAAACCGTGTCATGTTTCTCTAGTCTTGGAATGTCTCGGACGTGATAAATCAATCCAAAAACTCTTCTCAAAACCAAGAAAAGAAGCCTCTCTCTTCCATCATCGCCTTCAAAACCTCAGGCATCGACAACCCAATTCCCCCCTCTCTCTCATGCCATGCCACTCAACGCGTCCATCCCCTGTAAGCCCCCCCCCCCCAAAGCTCGCCTCTGCCCGTGTCACCGCTCCACTGCCAAGTACGGGCGCATCTCACCTGGCGTCGATTGATTCGCCACACGGCATGGTCTTGCGGGACGCGGCCGGATGTCTCCACCGATATCACGGCCAATCGTCGCGTCCATCTGTTGATGTCGCAAAAGCGAGGGAGACAGTCCAATGTATCTCTCACGCCAGTCAGCCCAGAGGTACTTGTTTCGTCAGGTATAATACATCAGACAGGGCACGGCTCGTCCCCGAAATAGATAGCCTGGGCGTTTGAGTCGCGCATCGCGTACAACACTTTGATGCGTTCACGATGCGTCGACACGATTCCAGTAATTACCTACCGTTGCACCACATCACAAGCCGCCTGCCGTGCCGTTGAACTGGTGATGCTTGCAGTACCCAACCGTCGAGTTTGCCCGTTGAAGAAAGGCACAATCCATTGTTCCAACATTGTGCTCCCACCCATCTTATCTCGATGCCATCATCTACAGCAGCATCTCTAGTCTGGTCCAATAACACGACTGGTCGCGTCTATGCGGCCTCATCACAAACCCCATCACTTAATATACACCATACCTTCTACAATTGGCTCATCCTCCATCCAGCTGATCCACGGACACACCGCACCTTGGCCCATAGAACTCCAGGCCTGGTCCCGGTCGAGCCATATACACAACAACCCCTTCAGCCTGCCTACATAACATGTCTCCTCCCTGATGCATCTTGTTTCCATTAAAAGGTCCGGCCACCCGCGTCCCCTAATTAACTTCCTCATCGCGTCCAACTTGTGTTGTCGCGACCGTGTCCGTGTCGCATCCGCGCTCCGACACTTTGAGGTGCAACACCGGCTTTGCCTAATGCACTCCTTTACATGCAGCTCGGAGGCTGGGGATGGGACCGCAACATTCGTCCCTCAGCCAAGTTTCTCATCAATGACCATCTGATCAGAAAATCTTCTACTGTTTCTGCTGCTGCGCCTTCGAGGCCGACATCTTGTCGTGTTGGCCGTCATCAACACCTCGCCCGGCCACCTGGCTGCATAAGGGCAAGGGTATCGCCACGGTTTGCAGCTGGATTAATTTCATCAGCCTGGCACAATTTCTTATGCCTTTTGTCTCTCCTGTGGCCTTTAGCCACCGTTACAGGTCCGAGGCCTGTTTCTGAATCCATTGGCCTAGCACAAAGCAATCATCCGTCATCGTCATCGTCTATCAAGTGATCGACCTGTCCTCTGGCTACTCGGAATTGGATCACATCTCACCGAGACATTGGCCCAGCCCCGAACACGGCATTGATAACCGAATATTATTGAACAGCTGCTTGGT